TTTTGTATTTTTAGTAGAGACGGGGTTTCACCATGTTGACCAGGATGGTCTCGATCTCTTGACCTCGTGATCCACCCGCCTCCACCTCCCAAAGTGCTGGGATTATAGGCTGGGATTATGAGCCACCGCACACGGTCTTTTTTTTTTTTTTTTTTCGAGGCAGAATCTCACTCTGTTGCCCAGGCTGGAGTGCAGTGGCACAAACATGGGTCACCACAGCCTCAATCTCCCCGGCTCAGGCGATCCTCCCACCTCAGCTGCCCAAGTAGCTGGGCCTATAGGTGTGTGCCACTGTGTCTGGCTAATTTTTTTTTTGTAGAGCCAGGATTTCACCATGTTACCCAGGCTGGTCTCAGGTGTTACCCAGGTGGGGGCCTCAAGCGATGCTCCCACCTCCATCTCCACCTCCCAAAGTGCTGGGATTACAGGAACCACCACACCTGGTACATGCATTTTTTTAAAGAGTACCCACTGGAGTCTAATACATAGCCTGGGTTACCTGGGATGAAGCATAAAGAAAGCAAACTACCATGACCAATGGTTGAGCCCCTAGCAAGTACCAGGCATGATCGTAATAATAAAAACAATAAACATCTATTGGGCCAGGCTCTGTGCAAAGTGTTTTATGTGGATTATGTCACTTTGCCACCCAGAGTTATCCTTATTTCCAGATGAGTTCACTGTCTCAGAGAGGGTTAGTAATTGGCTCAATGTCATGTAGCTCGTAGATGTCAGAACCAGGTTTTAACCCAGGGAACCAAGGTCAAAGCTCTTCCCATCATGTGGCAGAACAGAGGCAAGCAGAGAGGGGAGGAGAGTGAGGAGAAGGCAAGGAGAGGGAAAGAGAGTGAAGACAGCTGGGAAGACAAGAGGGGAAAAGTGAATGGTGGAGGAAGGGGGACCGGAGGAGCGTCCCTGTCCCCTCATCCCCGCTGGGCTGGCGGGTGAGGATGCTTTTTCATAAGAGACCACCAGGGGGAGGCAGTGTTCAGCAAGCCAGGTGGAGTGGCCCCAGCCTTGGGGGGAACACCCTCAGCTGCTCTCAGCAGGTCCAGCCATTGCTGAGCTCTGCTCTGGAAGGAGGAAGCATGGATGCGTCACAAGTTTTGGTCCCATCACAGGCCCAGCAGCTTGCCCGTCTCCAACCTGAGGCTACTTCCCTCCTGTAGGGTGTTTGTTTATTTGAGACAGTTTTGCTCTGTCACCCAGGCTGCAGTACAGTGGTGTGATCATAGCTCACTGGAACCTTGACCTCCTGGACTCAAGCCATCCTCCTTCCTCAGCCTCCTGAGTATCTGGAACCACAGGC